ACGCCCCGACCAAAATTGAACCACAGTAAGAGTAGAATCATGTAACTGTAGTGAGTGAGTGAGTGAGTGAGTGAGTGAGTGAGTGAGTGAGTGACACTGTACTGGTTTGTCGGTGAAATGATAATCGAAGTATAATCCAAATATTTTCATAGACACTACGATTGGCTTCAGTTTCTCCTCAATAGAAGTGCATGGGAACTTCGTAGATTCTTTATTTCAAGTGATATGTAGATCAGAAGCAATTAACGCTTCGACATTCATATCTGAAGATTTACATACGACCCAAATATTTGGAACAGAGTGTATGAAACTGTCAAGTCATTTTAAAACCATTTGACAGAACTCGTCTTCGTCGTACATCCTTTATAGGGTGTGATCATGCTAGAACCGCCTACCTACTTCGTCTGTTGTGCAATCATGTCTTCCTGTAATATGTAGTTGGGACAGACGAGTAAATGTTTGCAAACAATGTTATCGGAAACCACATTTCCACGGTGTAAAGACACAACAGTTGATATCTTCGATTGATTGGACTTGATTGTTGTTATTGCTTTCACAATAATCACTGATATTGGGTTCCGTGTAGAAATTGTATCATCGATATATTTAAAGGCATGATTGATACATAACTGGTCCATCACTGGATTGTTTTTAGGTCACCGTCGCATGGCTGGAACACTGCTATGCGGCGTCGGGCAACAAACAACACACCTACTTTTAAGGGCAAATTGTGTGAGTGGTGGACGTTGTCATGTTATTCGTCATTCGAATGACGAAAAAGGAATTATTTCGTCATTCAAAATTCAACTTACAACTTTAAAATACATTCGAATGACGATTGACAATTATTTTGTCATTTGTCATTCAGCTTACACGATTACAATACAAGCGACGATTGAATGACGAATTTTTCGTCATTCAACTTACAACATTAAAATACGTTCGAATGCTAACTTCTGGTTGCCGGATGTTAACTGTAGGGCACGACATGGTTTCTATTTTCGCGAGCACCTGGTGTAATCACTGATTTGCAGTGATCCATTCATATAATATTCACCGCTATTTTGTCTTTTACACCTAATGGAATCGGCGGATAATCGAGGATGGTTATATTCTAATCTTGATGGTTTATATACTACACAACTAAAGGTTATGGTGTTTGTTGTAGCCAGGTTTGAGGGGGGGGGGGGGGGGGGGAGGGGCAGGGGAGATTGAAACTGAATGTACACACGTGTTATGTGGTAGTATATATTGTAAGTTTATTTCTTTGGATTGTTAGTGGCAGCCAATTGAAGGCTCGTAAAATAGAATGACCTTCCTCGGAACTTTACAGTCCAAGTTCCGTCAAAGCGCTTGACGCTTCGTGAGGTTACAGTGTTCAGAAGGCTTTCTGTACTCATATAAGAGCGACACGAGGTAACTGGACGCCTTCTTCTATCTGACTTGCGGCTTATCTTCTTGCCCAGAGCGGATGGGATACCTGTGCGAAAACACCGACTTCACTGACTGTATCCAACAACGCTTCCTCCATTCAACAACGTGACACTTGCATCACCGACGACATTCAACTGTCACTAATTCTGGACATTTGTGAGTGCGGCTGACCAGGTAATAGGACCCGTTATTTTACTGCTGCTTCTACATACTTGACCCATTGCCTTTTAAATCGTACGCTATTAAACCTTATCCTGTATGTTTCAATATTATTTGTTGATTTTACATTGATATTGTGTTTTGTTCACTGACTTTACAATTAAGTTCTGTACGGACTGATTTCTAGGTTAACCTTTGCGTTTAAACTAGGGAATCAACACGTAACACATGGTGCAGTTGGGGAATTGTGTTGTCCTCTCAGAGGATACGACCGCCTCCGTGGTCTAGTGGTAGAGCGTCCGCCCAGATAGTTGAAGATCCGGTGTTCGATCGCATGCACGTCGCTATATAAGTGGAATAATTTCTTGGACGCGACGTTAAACCCAATTTCACCTGACCTCAGAGAATATATATATGGTGTGAGTTTCTGTCATCTCCTATCTTTGCAGTGCTGGAGAGAAAAGAACTTTTAACTCAACAAGAAAACTCACCCTAGCTGAAAGCTAGATTCAAGGCTGACAGTTTCTGAATTTAAGACACAGTTTACATTCGCAACACGTGCTGCACATGGCGATATCAAACACATTCTTTTTTAATGTACCTGTAATAAGCAGGATCAGTAGACATTTGCCATGTCACATACCATTTTTGCGATTCCGGGGAAGAATTGGTCATCAGTAAACTATGTTTGTGGAGGGGATCGATGAACTTGAATCAGGTACAGAGGACGGGTGACTGGACAAATACAATTCGCAGTACTCGTCGTCAAAAGAAACGCAAACCATAGTCACATATAGAGGAAGTATGTACGTTAAGAAGAGATGTTTCCAATGTGTACCAATTTTTTACAAAACTAATAATCAGTCAAGTGTTCTCAGTTGGTCGTTATTCTAATCACGATATGCTGCACGTAATTTCCAAACTTTACACGCTAATCCTGCATGAGACAACGCTTCAATGGGATTCCAATTGAGTTTAACAAAAATGACCCTAAGATATGTTCTGTGATGTAGTTTTTATACAACATGTCTTTACACCAAACCTTGATCTTTAGGAGTAGTTCATCCCACCCTATAAGAAAGGTACAGATAGCATCCCATCAAAATACAGGCTAACAGCATTACTTGATGTCTCCGGAAAGATTTTTGCCAACGTAATAAGTAAAAGACTTTATGAATGGGTCGAAAAAATGCAGAACAGGCTTATTTTAGGAAGGGATTTTAGTCGTTAGATTATGTTTATGTACTAGATATAGCTGTCACTACGTATTTATCCCTTACAAAGGGGTCCTTGCTGTTTTGTAGACCCCAAGGCTTTAGAATCTGTAAATAGAGAAAATTTATTGTACAAACAATGGTTCAGTGATGTAAAAGGAAGGTTCTTTCATTTTGAAAGAAATATATATTCAAAAGTGAAATCTTGTATTTGTCTAAAAGAAGGTTATACTGAATGTAAAGCTGTAAAGATTGTCAGTTATCACCACTCTTTTAGCTCTTTGTAAATGTCATTATGGACTTTTTGGGAGAAGATGGAGATAGATGTATTGAATTAGGGATTCTTCACATCTTTATGTTATTATTTGCAGATGATATGGTAATAATTCATTAATGTACTGTAATAGTACAGTTTTAGGCTAAAAAAAGATTGAACCAGCATCATATTGTAATAAATGGCGTCAAACCGTAAATACTGATAAGAGAAAAATCCGTATTGGTGGTCAAAAGGTTCTAAAATAAGAAAATTGTGAAAAAGAAAAAAGAGTACCACTATTGGAAACTATCATCGTAGAAGTATCCAGGTGTGTACTTCCCAGGTACTGGTAATTGGTATGTGACAGGTATTACCGCAAATGTCTTTTAAAGTATTAAATATTGTTCGTATTTAGTTGCAAGATTTTATTAATCTTCCACTATCAGTGGCACATATTGGATGTTGAAACATTTCCAGTGTTAACGAACGGTTCAGAAGTATGTGGTTTCCATCCATCTCCTGATGTAACACGTGGGTATGATAATTATTTCAAACAAATACTCCATCTCGGTCGATATGCACAAAACCTAGATCAATGAAAAGTGTGTATTTCACCTGTTCTATTCTCTATTCTTGGCTTGTTGAAGCCATACGTCAGTTTTGTTTTCAGTTATACTACAGCCAGACAAGTAAGATAGGTGCAATGTGAAGGGTGAACGCTAGAGAATTCAATTATCCACCGAAACAGATTCCATTGAGCGTGAAAAGCAAAATACCGAAAGACCAGTTTATTTAGCCCTGACAGAAATGCATGTTGCGTACTAGTAGGCAACTCGTCTGAGTTTGTCATTGGGAATAATACTGTTGTACCAAGTTGTACGCCATGAAACCGCCAAATAACGTAAATTGATTAAATTTGGCTTTTTGATATTATGACATAACACTCGTATACAATTTTCGTTTTGTGTTTATTGATTATAAACTGTTATGTTATACATACGAATGTCCCTCGTAGCACATCAAAACAGATTAAATTGTTATTAGACATTTTCCTGTGCCATACCAACAAGTGCAAAGTCAGTAGATTCTGGTTGATCCGAGTTTTGAGTAGATTGTGTTGTGGCTGTCGGTCCTGCAGTTCGTCTGTGAATCACCTCGACTGGTCTTCTTTAGCCATCGACTACATCTTCCCTTCTTAGTCACACAACAAAAAATGATTAAAAAAGATATAATATTGACGCCAACGCCAGAGAATAGCCGGTCTTGTTTAATTGTTTGCCTCATACAAATGCTGATGTAACAGTGTATATCAGAGAACAACGATTTTTTCATACTGCACACCTAATTCTATTGCAGGTAACAATACCACCAGAAGACATTATCCACTTCGTTCATATTTTCACACTCATCGTATAATAGCAGACGACCGTCTTACACTATTAATTCGAGATAGAATTGCGGTTGGTTTGTTGCAAATGCAATGCCAACAGATCGGCAATTCGAGCGGGGAACATAAGAATTGTACCTTTTGTGTTAGCGGGGTACATTGAAATTAATAGAATGGGTCTCAACCATTCAGAATCCGACAATAATATGAAAGGTAAAATAAATAAATACCTGTTTATATATATACGGATATATATGCTGGACAGATACACATTACTGGTATCTATAAACAAAATAAGATTATCAGACTTTGGAATGATGATCTGTGTCAACGATGTAAACGACCAAACCTCATTTATCATAGAACGTATTGCCCTAAAATGATTAATGGAAATTGATGTGTCAGCAAGAATGGTCAATGTTGACTTGCTGGAAATTGATTTTCAGATCAATGTCCATTGTTTATTCACTATAATGAATTCATTGCTGGACTTAATGGGCTGTCATATTGCAGTGTTGATTGACCAGGACAGTGTCCGTTCAGCAAAAGATGAAGAATACTTCTGACAGTGTCTGCTGGGATTGGTGAAACTTCAACAAAGACAAGCACAATACAAATCCATCTAAATGAGACTGTTGTATTGTGGTGTAGTGTTCTGCTGATGCTAGTAGTGACGCTTGCTGGTTGGTGAGGCTGAGAGGCATTGATCAAATTGATACGGACTGTATGGAAGTGTTGCACATCTGCCTTCGACCTGAACATAGCTGGCTTTTCTCTGCACAGGCGTCAAACATGAAAGTTGAAACCATCACACAATCTGGTGTTCACATCACTGGTAATCAAAAGCTGAGCCGGACCCCTTTCACATCCATTGAGGACAAACTACAACCAATTTTAATGTCTATGAAAATATTTGGGATTTACTTTGATCCAACACAGGCCAAAAACAAAGTGGAACCATCGGAAACATATACGTCCCAGGAAAAACCACCAAGACTGTGGCGCTCCATCAACCGTCTATACTGTTATACGGTTCTCCTCTTACTGTGGTTCAACGTTGGCCGATGTGCAATTGGGGTGTTCCCTCTTAACGAGGGTTTGCCCCTAAGGATAATTTTAATGACATGGATGTTGCTTTGCGCACTAAACGCTACTATCGTGATCACTGCATGCCAGAAACTAACACACCTTCGCTGTTTCTACAAGCATTGGGATTCCTTGTTCCAGTGCCCTGTTACAGATAGCTTGGGCTGTGGCTTTTTATTTTCACGACATTATTGCAGAGTTGGTACAGCAGCTGGCTGGTTTGTAAGTCTTGTTAACATTGCTGCTCTCTGCGTCTTCATGTTTGGCAATTTACCCCTGTCACCTGTTTACATCACAACTTTTGCCCGACCATTCCCAGAGTCACAATTGGTGGTCATCTTCAGCGTTGTCCTGCACGTGTTTCAATCGGGGGCATGGATTTTCCCGATTATATTTATGAGCATAACTTCTCGAGTCATACGAGCACAGTTCTTTCGGTTCGGACAGGTCCTCTCAAAGCAAATCGAGCAAGCAGACGGACACATCCCTCATCAACTGCCAGAACTGAGGTTTCGCTACACACAACTGTGCCAGGCTGTGGATATCATCAATAGAAGCTACAAATGGCTCCTTGGAACGTGTTTCATTCTGAATATCTTTCTGGCCTGTTTTGTGTCCTATGAGATAATCAACGGCCCGTTGGACACTTTTGTCATCACAGTTAATGTATTCTGGCTTGGAGGTAGTGTTGTGTGCATCCTTGTGTTAGCAATAAGCAGCTCCGATGTTCATGATGCAGTAAGTGTTCTAGAAAATTCGTGAAAAACATTATTTGTCCTTAAGTTCTTTTGTTGTTGTTTTTGTAAATAGTGTCCAAATTTTGTTAATCGTTCCTTGACATGCTGAATGTTCTTCAAAATAATGTCTTTTGAACAAACAGAACTATTTGCTTCCTCGTTTTATCAAAGGAAGGAAATTGCATGTCTTGAAGTGCTGACTGAAAAATAGTCTGTCTAAAACAAAATTCCCACAATGCTGCCTCTTGGGTATCGAGAGATGACTACCCCGCCACACCGCACGTGTTAGAAGAGGCAGTCAGTTGTACTACCTAAAGATGAATTAAAGATATATGTAAACTATGTATAAAGGTTGACACAAAAATCAATTATCTACGCATGAGAGGCTAAACTTGTGTCATGTCACAATTTATAGTATCAGGTTATTTAACATAAACGTTTAATTTTCAGGCTCATTCTCTTCTGGATGACATATTCAGCATCGGAACACGGGATGCTTCTGTGGAGCAGCTGGGACAGGTATGCTTTGATGTCAACCGTTCAGTATTTTTCAACAAAAATTGGCAGATATGTCGAACAGGTCCTGAAATGGTGGCCTTTGCTATTAACAGGATTTGGCCATTATTATTTTTCTTGATTTCCATGGAAACAATTTCTGCTTACTCTCACAAAGGGGTGGATTTCGTTCCCAGAGCACAACTCAAAAAACATTTAATATCTTTCAACAAAACTTGGCAAATATATCAAACAGATCTTGAAGTCGTGCATTTTACTATTTGCAGATTTTTGGCATTTATATTTTTCTCGATTTCCATGGAAACAAATCAGACTTAGTCTCAAAAAGGGTGGGGGTAGGTGTCGTTTCCGTAGCACAGCTTGAAAACTGTGAAAGACTTTTCATCCAAACCTAGTACATGTATTAACCGGAGGCTGAAGTGGTGCCTTTTGCTATTTAGGAATTTCCCTCTTTCCATGGAAACATGACTTACCTGAAACGGAGCCAGGGGGGAGTTTCCGGATCAGAACTAAAATGTATTAATCAAGGGCTGAAGTGGTGCCTTTTGCTATTCGGGATGTATTTATCACCAATTTGATGGTCGAGCATCTTTGTGATTAGTTTGGACGAAAGGTTAGAGCCATGGATCCTCCAGTACACAATCTAAAAGAGTTGACCCAGGTATTGCATGCAGAATGGCAACACATCCCTCAGTTAGGGATCTGATTTTGAGCATGAGGGGACGTCCTGCGGATTTCATTTGTGTACGGGGTGACAACACCAGATACTGACTAACACTGTTGATCATTTAACTGTGACATGGGTACAACGTTACTAAGACACGTACCAATACTGCCTCTATTTAACTCCAATTACAGTTCTTGTAGTTGCTGGCGAAAAAAAGATGCTTTGTTGCTCACATTTCCTGTTATTCAGTAAACTAACATCTTGTTTGACATCAAGAAACAGTTTCCAGCTTCTGCTTACCTATCTCGTTTCTGATTATCAAGCAATCTTGGTGGTGCGATACTTTTGACGATGTGCATATGCAAGTTAACAGGAATATTCAACATACTTATCTTACCCTTGGACATATGTATGGCTCGTCTCACCTTCTGGCTTACCTTATGATACACACTTGTAACTTATGACCTAGGATTGTATTCAGAGACACATGAGATATCAATTTCCATTTGAAAAGGTAAGTAAACATCAAAATATGAAATTATACACATAGAACTATTAGCTTTTGACGTTACTCTCTTTTCAGCTTAACCTGTTTGTGTCGAAATTGACAGGCACATCCATTGGGTTCACAGCTATTGACTTCTTCGTCATCACTAAAGAGTTCTTACTGACTGTAAGTATGACTTTATGGCACAGTCAATGTTCTGATCGAAAAGGATCCCGCAATGGGATCATGGTGACATACCATCGGTTCAGTCACAGGGTCATCCGATCAAACAAATGGGTGATGAGGACCTATTCTGGCCGAGACCCCAAGGGGTCATAATGCAACAAAGACTGATTGTGAGAGTGAGTTTGGTTTAACACCAATTTGATCTGTATGACACATATAAAACGGCGTATCAAATTCATGAGGATACTTTAAGAACGGTGCTGACAAACCAAGTAGCATAATCAGGGAGAATATGGGATATGTTCTGGCAAGCCTAGGGGACGCACGTCAAAAAGAAGACTGTGCTACATTTTCTGATTATATAGGTTTATTAGTAGTTATAAACGCATAGTTATCATCAGTACTCTGTTCAGAGAAGTTCTTGGTCCTTCTAATTGCCTCCTGTTTCAGCTGGGTGGACTGTTCATGACCTATTTCTTCCTCCTGCTCCAGTTCAAGATAGCCTGATTCACCGAGTACACACAGAAGTGATGATGGCACCTGCCTTGTGATCCCAATGTATAAATGAATGAGATTCTATGAAAATGTTTGCATGGGCTTTGAATTTTTGAAAGGCACAAGGTGTTGAATTTCTCGCAATGCTTGACGAGGTTTTACTTGTAGAACAAATACGAAAATGTAATGTGGGGCAATTCTAGCCTGAAAAAAAGGAACAGATTGCGCGCATTCCTTCTTGATCAGCCAGACCCGTAAAAATAATGAGATGGTCCATAGCTGTGTTGTCCGTGTTTCACACATGCGTATCTCCGCATGTTCAACCTCAGTAGCTTCAGAGATCAGGAACCGCAGTCTTGCATTCTTTGTTTGTTGCTTAAAAACGTCGCATTCTTTGTTTGTTGCTTAACGTCGCATTCAGCTGCAGTGTTTAATTGTTTGTTTGTTGTTTATTGCCATAGTGTTGCAGCAAGGAATGTAGTGCCCTTGATGCTGTGAATCACTGGCGACGTAAATAAGTATCATGTGTCTTTGTTTTCACACTGGTCCGACACTTGTTGTCATGAAACGCACAATCATCCGCCAAAGATGCTGGGCACAACCTGAGAGTTTCTCTACGTTAACATACATAGGCATTTGGTTCCACGAGTTTAAGTTTAATGAAAGAAAGGTAAGATACAATTTCTTTATTCTTTAACTTTGCTATGCACTACCTATCCATGTGTGGATCATCCATCATATTTCCACCAACATAGAGAAAGAGGAGTTGAGCACCATTTAACTGTCAGTCAAGTCTAGATGCAACAGGCTCGGGGCATGCTCTGTACACCAACATGAGGACAGGGGAGCAGATGAGGATGTGGGGCACATTTTATGGTTTAGATATAGTTTGAACCAAATAGCTTGAGTAGGTCGAAATACAAGAACAATTTAGTTCAATCTCTTCTTATTTACGTGACATTCAGTGCCTTGGGTCTGTCCGTTTAGTGTCAAAGGTAAACGGTAATTCAGTTTCAAATGCAAGATGTTTAACATTTTTGAAGTGACATGTACCATTTGTTAGGTCTGTCCCCTCCTTTCGTGTGTTTTCATTGGGCAGACACAGTACACACTGCATTTAGTCAATTTTCATTAAAATACATATTACTTTATTTCATTATGTTTGTTGTATCTTCTTTTTCTTTAATAAAAAATTGTGTGATCATGAAAAATGAAAGTGTTTTCTTGTTTGTACCAGTTGTTTTCTGGAATCATGACTGAATATATACTACTATATGTTCACTGGATATGACAATGACCAAACTTACTCCAATAAGTATGTATGTCTTTATGATTCATGTCCAACTGGTCCCACTTCATACAAGTACAATAGATTTGTGGTTATCACTTGACTCAAACAATTCTCCGTCATTCGTAAGACAAAACGAAGAAACCCGTAGCGTCGTATTATGTCAATACAACAACTTTGAAGGGTCTGAGACTCCCAATGGCGGTACCTCGCTGTTCCTTTGTGCTACAGTTTGTCGTTGCGTGACTTTGCAGTGGCTGGCATAACAGTTGGACCCGTGAAGATCCAGGGTAGAATAGGTCTTCAGCAACCCATGCTTGCCGTAAAAGGCGATATGCTTTTGTACGAGGCGACTAACGGGATCAGGTGGTCAGACTCGCTGACTTGGTTGATGCATGTCATCGTATCCCAATTGCGTGGATCGATTGTCATGATGTAAATCACTGGATTTTCTAGTCCAGACTCGATAATTTACAGAACGCTGTCATAAAGATGTAATATTGCTGAGTGCGGCGTTAAACAACGAACAAACATAACAGTTTGAGCAACAGAGATCACCACACACACACACACACACACACACACACACACACACACACACACACACACACACACAAGCACGCATTTAGAGGCATATTTATAATATTTCACGTGGTTCTCGTGTAGTGTTTCTCGTCTGTATTGTTATATTGGGTTATGCGTTTGGTCGTTGATTCCAACAATGAAGTTTTCAATTTTATACCATATGGTATCTTTTATGTATCGCGTATCGTTAATGTGCTGCTGTCTTTCATATTTGCATGTATGTATGTAAGATATGTACCTTGCGTTTTTTTTCTTTTGATTAATATATTAATTCATTTGGCTATATAATGTAATCTGTTGTCAGGGGACATATTTTCGGATTTTACAGGCATGAAACAATTCAAATGTGTTTTTATACATCTTACCAAAGCTTCCTTGGCCTTGCGGTCTCTGAAAAACGTTTTAAATATTTTTGTACTTTTTCAAAGAAGTACTTTTATGCCATGAAAACCTCCATGATCAAAGTTAAGTTTGGCAGAAGAAATCAAAAGTTAACAGACAAACGAACACAAGTCACACAAAAGATCAGTCCCAAAATGAAAGAAAGACGAAATGAAATGCTTCAGATTGTATCAGTGTCCAAGCTGCCCCCACTGTGTTGCAAAACGAATATATTTCTTAAACTTTTTATTTTTATTTATAAGCAGCAGAAACTCTGCAATTCTACACAGCATATCGTGTTCATTAGTTGCAACAACACATTATTGCGTCACTTTGATTGTCTGGTTTGTACACAGGCCGCCGTAGCATGGCAGAAGTATTGCTGTGCAGCGTATGACAATAAATACTTACTTGTTTATGCAAAGTGTGTGGGTGGTGTGTGCTACCGGGAGGACAGGGCATGCTTACCCTTTTCCCGAACACATGGTGTTATCGTTGATTTTCTAGGGGTCCATTCATATCATTTTTGCAGCTATTTTGCCCTTTACGCCAATTTTTCGGCGGATACTCTAGAGTGGTTATTCTCTTGCATTGACAATAAAATTCATACGAAAAAAAGAAAAGGAAAAATGCGTCTTTCATTTCTCTCACAGAAATTAAGCTAAAGAAGGATAAAGTCAGAACGTTCTCAATTCTTTACGTTATAACGGTTTTTTCATCCTAAGATACAAAATTGACTTAAAATTATTTTTCCATTATGATGACACACACATACACACAAACACACACACAAACACACTTTCTCCACTGTATATGGCAATTATGTTAGGTGTGTGCACATAATAAAGTATTTGGTTTTCCTGTGATCTGAAACTATGATGTCAAAAACAAATTTAGCATGACATTGAAAATATTTAAAGCTTCAAAATGCCAAGTATATCATTGGCTTCGTCATCTGAAATGTCTTCACTGCTAGAACTATCTTCCAAATAGGTGATAAGAGCACACACATATGGTGGTAGGATAAACTGATGAGATGACACTACCTCTTTTTCTAATCTGTTACGTTCCTGTTGGCTCGTCAATGTTCAAAGGGCGAGTCTGTGACGATATAGTCTCTTTTTAATTCCATCTTCTAGCAGTATTGTTTCCATGCATAGATTGTGAAGAATAGTATATTGTTAAAAAGAGTAATGCTGGCCTTTAACTGTGACTTTGTTAATGACTTAAAAGTGCTCGACGTTGCACAGCTACTGTTTCATTAGAAAATTCATATTCTTGTAAACACTCTCAATAATATTTTCACTTCTAGATCAGTCCGTTTATAGATAAAAGAGTATGGTCCGTGAAATCTCTCTGGAAGATCAACTGTATGGGTTAGCGCTTCTTGTTAGGATTTTATGTACCCTTTTTTCATAAGCAACACATGTTGAATTTCAGTATTTGTTCTTCTGACGTGTTCATGGCAGCACTGACAGACACACTGGGAGGAATGAAGCTGACAATCTTCCTTGAGTAGATCTTGCTCATATCGTAGCTGTTACTTGACTGATGGATATTGTTGAACTCTGCTATTTAAGTTCATAGAGTAAAATACCTGTTCAGATTTTGATTCTCAGGATACTCAGGATTCGAATTAGGACAAACATCTACCACGCGATTATTATACTTCCCTATATGAATCTGTAAAATATTTGGCTTGTCCTGGAAAAATTTGTGAGGAGAGAATTTTATATACATGAACGTGGGTTGGACATTATGAAAGGCATATGGGTATCCAGATATATACTTCTGTTACTCTCTCCTTTAGGATAGGCTGACTGCTGTATGTTCAACACTGTTTTACCCAAATGATGAGATAGGGTGCTTACAGATTTAACGTGAGATGGCTTTTACATACTTCCATCATTAAATCATTAAGCACAAAAGCCATATGTTATTCGATTGTTCAGACCAAGAGTACAGTTCTATTTTTGTTGGTAGGCTTTTGTGAAACAATACGTTTTTCATAGACGTTTGCACTTCTGTATACATGTCTTGCCTTACTGCATAACATTACACGATGAGGTCAGGTGGCTTATCAAACATCGCTCCAGCATTCTGAAAGATTCTTTCAGTGAGATAGGGTTTTTCCCACTACAGTACTATGACTCCGATATGGTAGAGGGTGTTTGTATAGGTAACAGACATTCTGCTTGGTCTGAGGTCTCACTCGTTGAGTCTGTGTGTTCATACATCGTCGCCGTCGTACGACTGGTCGGTCTGGACATGAAGTATGTTGTAACATTCGACTAGAACTAAATACATGGGCTATATACTTTCTCATTTATACGGTAACACGAGCTAAAGATCTCTCACGTCTGAAAAAACATTGATGCGGTTTGGTTTTAAGATGAAATTATGAGTTGCGTATGTCAAAATAACAACCGTTTCCGCCTGGGGACGGTTATACTCGAACGTACAAACTGTCTCAGTGCAGACAATAACGAATTATTGGGGTTACTCTGAGGAAACCATCGCCTCTCATTTCTAATCACGACTAACCGGTTCTCCAGTAACCGTCTGAGAATGGCTACCATTCCTAATATCTGCTCCCTCTATAATATCTTCCGAAATCTCACACTCTTAATATAGATCTCTATATTTTTTATATCTTTCCTAATAACTGGTATGTACCCCCAATGGATAAAAGTGGAAGTTGGATTCCTCTCTCAAGGCAGCTCGACTCCTACTTGAGAACAATTACACAGATTACAAAATACAACAACGTTAGTATTATTAATATCTTTCAGATCAACCTTAGCAAGGCTCAGCTCGATTAGAGCTACAAGCCACACTTCATCTAAAGGTAAACATGGTGATGACTTCAGATGGAATCTATATGGACTGTTGTTTGGATAATGAGCTATGGAATCGGAACTGCTGAATACTATGTACTTATCCATTTTTTGTTTTTTATTTATCTTTTGAAAATATCTATACGTTTTCATGTGACCTTTTCCACCCATGAGTGAGTGAGTGAGTATGGTTTTACGCCGCTTTTAGCAATATTCCAGCAATATCACGGCGGGGAACACCAGAAATGGGCTTCACACATTGTACACATGTCGGGAATCGAACCCGGGTCTTCGGCGTGACGAGCTAACGCTTTAACCACTAGGCTACCCGACCTCCCCTTTCCACCCATGAATCGAAACTAACGACATAATACTCTCTACCCTTTTCTCTCTTTTCCTTTAGCACCTCTTCAATATTCCCTGCATGTTGTAAATTTTGTTTTACATTTTGAAGCTCTTGTTCGTAAAACAATTTGTTACATTTGACAATGTTCTTTATGGCATTGTGTGTTCATAGGTTTATGCAGAATGTAAGCGTCATTTCCTTCAAGAACGTCCCTCACTTTCTTTAAATCTGTCAAGCTGATCGACACTTAGATTGTCAAAAAGATGCTTTCGGGTCGAAATAATGATCTTCAAACAGTTTAATGTCATGATTTCTCGCAATAAACATGATTGCAAATGATAAAGACAGTATCGAACCTATGCTTTTTATTTTATGATAAACGAACATAAATGAGTAGATTGTTCATGATTTTGATTTATTCAAATCGAGTTTGCAAGTACAATAGTCTGACGACTAGTTTTTTTAGATCATGTTTCCATTGCTCTCTCTGTCTTGAGCTGTGTATTCAGGAAGTCTGTCCTCTGATATCGACAAAACACAAAGTTGCTGGTGACTCTCATGCTCGGATCTACCAAGACAAACCCTCTACTGGGAGATCACTTGATCTTCATTTAGTTCTTGCCAAGCCATATCAATATATCTTCATGTCATGTCTTCTATTGTTAAAGTTTCACATGTGTAAGGTGTTGCCATGGTATCAAACAAACACCACAGACAAAGTTCAGCAGTAATTTGTTTTACTTGTTTAGACAGCTGCAGAGCAAAACATACATTTAACACATGCTCAAGGTTGTTATTTCGAGTTACCACATCGATTGCATCAACCATAACTAGGATAATTTTTTGACAATGCTCCTTTTACTGCCTCCAGTCGAGTCTGAGAATGAAGACTTATCATCTTTAACACACGTGTCTCAATCTTTAAACCAATGACTTGAGCGCTGAATAACTGTTTATGTCAATCCTGTAGCTTTCATTACTCATTTCCATGTATAGAAATCCATCTTCGACATTGTTTCTAAACACAAAATATAAACAAAAAATGAAAATTATGATTATGTTAATTTCTCATACGGAATATTTTCTCTCTTCATATAAACAACAGTAATAATTATGTTGTTACCCTTTTAAATAGTAACATCAGTTTATTCTAATCAGGATCTATAGCAACTCCGCAAATATGTCTTTATTGTAAGGATGTTGTCACTTATGTGAATCTACTTAATCATTTTCTTTGTTATTCATTCACGTTAAAGCAGTGTATTTTCATGATTTTCCATCTATCAGTATCTTCATTCCCATTCAAGATTGCAGTGTACATACACCGCATAACTCCCCACGCGGTGATTCTTTTTCTATCATATTATTATTTGCTTACCTGATATACCTGATAGGGTATCTTTCTGGCATTGCCCTTTGACAAAACCATTCATTCCTATTCAAGATCATATCATTGCCAGGCTTTGTTTTCATAGTTTCATACAAATTCTACTACTAACCACCCTTACCACCGCTTCAATCATTTGCTGCCACTGACAATGGCTACAAATCAATCTAAAATAATCTGTACTGCCACATAACAATATGGTAAATAGAAGCATCAAATGGCTTCTTGAAACCCGTTTCGTTATACAGATATTTCTGGTCTCTTTTGTGTCTTATGTTTGTCCAAGTCGTATATGGCGATACAAGTCTATGTGCAGAGTTGCGTCCCTTAGTGGTCCCAGAAACCTCTAGGCATGGGTTCGAGTTTAAAATTCGCCCTAATTATGTTTCTTTATTTGTCAGCACCATAACCGTGTTGGTGTGTTTCACCAAAGTGGTAAACGTCTGCACTAACTGTGAATTACTTCAACGTGGTCATCTTTACCCACGTGATTCACATCTACGAAATGCTGAGAAGTTCTGCTCCATGGGTTGCAATTTTAGCATTTCGGACACATATGTACTGGTCCTGTCATTCCTACTGGAAGTAAGTGTCAAGTTTTCACTTTGACAAGACATAATACATTCGTTATGGTGTCGTTAGTTGCCACAAATGGTGTCACATTAATATGACACTGTATACGGAAACCAAAGTTCTGTTTGTTTGTTGTTTAACGCCGCACTCAGAAATATTCCAGCTATATGACGGCGGTCTGTAAATAATCGAGCCTGGACCAGCAAATCCAGTGATTGACATCATGAGCATCGATCCACGCAATTGAGATACGATGACATGCATCAACCAAGTCAGGGAGCCTGACCACCCGATCCCGGGAAACCAAAGACACCATAATCAATAGTTTGTACGATGGATATGACAGACATGTATGGCTTCATGATTCATGCTAAACTGGTTGCACTTCATACAACGGGGGCACGGGTGGCCCAGTCGTCTAAGGCGCCGCGATTCGCTGTGCAGAGTTGCGCCCCCTGGACAAGCCAGAAACCTATGATTGTGGGTTCGAATCCCGGTTCATCCCGATTATGTTTCTAGGTTTGTCAGCACCATACCCGTGCTCGTGGGTTTCACCGAAGTGGTAAACGTCTGAGACCTGCATCACTTCGGGCTTTCCGTCCACATTAAGCTGACACGCAATGATATAACTGGAATAATGTTAAAAGCGGCGTTAAACCCAACTCACTCACTCACCACTGCAAGCAAATATAACAAATGTGTGGTGGGGAGTCACTTACAGCAATAACTGCAAAAGACTTTGTTGCAACCCTTGAGCATTGGTATGGTACAGACAGACCAAGGATAATCAGGACGATCCTGGGATTCAAACCGATGATCAGCGGGTCCTTCCACGGCTTAAAAAAACAACTTCATCTATGAAATGAATGTCAAATGACCAGTTGGTTCAGGTATCGTGCAATCCAATTATTCAACTTGATCGTGCTTGAACAAACAATTTATGAGAGCTGTGTTTTAACTTGTACCCTGCTAATGTGTCATATGTAAGAAGGTATTACAGTATTTGTTCTCATTAGAAATAGATAGTGCTCACAACCCAGCAACGACTAACATGAATATAGTACTATTGCTTCATAATTGGAGCTCTTAAGACTAATGCTGCTCGTCTGGTTCGGTCAGTGTGAGGAGACACTTACCTACCACAGTTTATTTGCTATGCACTTGGCCGTAATAGAACAACGAGTACTGTGACTGGCCAGTTTTTTAGCATTTTTGACATTAACCTGTACTCAGCTATATTGCGGTGTGGTGTTCTGCCGATGGTAATGACGCTTGCTGGTTGGTGAAGCTGAGTGGCATTGATGAAATAGACAGGGACTGTATGGAAGCGTCGCACACTGGTGGATGGTTGTGTTCTAATGCCGATCTGATGAAATCGCCAACAGTGATGCACCGACCTTTGCACGGTGAATGCACACACTTCCAGTGTGTTGCGTCCTGACGTCGCACGCTGAGCCGGTAACGACAACCTCCATGGAACACTTGCTGGCCGCCTGTCTTGGATGTAAAATACTCTGCTCCCTGAATATTTGCCATGATGTGATACAGTGACTTGCCGACATCTGGTTTTATACTTTTCAATGTGATGGGATAAAAATAAAGTAATGTTAAAATAAATGTTAATTGCATTGATCTCTAGTTTATACAGTCATATGTATTAACATCTCTGCTCAGCTTTAGAACTGAATAGTTTGAACAACAATGGATTATGGCAGAGAATTTATGGATGTCAACCTCTTTATTATAAGGAACACAATGTTTCGGGGTATATGCTTACTCCTTCATCATTCATTGATTACGTATATACTCCGACAAGTTGTGTTCCTCATAATAAAAAAGTTGACATCCATATATTCTCTTCCTCATGTGTATCACTTCTAAATGCCTTTCAAAGCTTAACAATGCATTAGAACTTAAATTGCATTGATCTTAAAAATAGTTTATTGATGTGATTCTTGTTGTTTATACAGTAATAAGTATATACTCAGTCTAATGTTAATTGCATTGATCTCTAAAAGAAACTGATCTCTAAAATACAGTTCAGCTTTTTTCAGTTACTAACATTTTATATAGGAAGCTGCAACAGTACAAACCTGACCTGACTGGGCAGCAGATATTAAAAACAATAAGCCAAACAATAGTGGTTCAGTCCATTAACATAAATAGGGATGAAACTTAGTTACCAATTTGCCTACTTTATTTTCTGTTGGCAAATTGGGATGTAGGCAGAATGGGATTGAAACTCACTAACCTGAGCTCCACTCTACCGGCGTCGTAACAGTTCTCAACGGCGCCCTTGGCGTCGACGCTTCAGGCGCCACCGGGATTCGGACAATACTCGGCGCCTCTACAGCCGACGCCTTCCATGGACACGACTTGGTTCCAAAGCTCCATGCAATCCATGTTTCAGCAACCTGCATCTTCATACACGGCCCCTCCGGTGCCTCTAGTGTGTGATACGCTCTCGGCTCTTTCAGCGCATCTGGTCCTCTCGGTGCCTCCAGTCAAAGCGGAGCTTGGTGACGCCCTTTGTCTTCCCTCGGTTCGACATCTACTTCGATGCGCAGTGGAAGTAGATCCTCCCGATAGGCGTCGATCTTGCAGTCCCCAGTCCGACACCGTTGAGAGTGCCGCTCTCACTCCTCAGAGGGCACAGAGGGTAAGAACATTTTTTAAAGTCTTTTTGTATGACGTGGCGGGGATCGAACAGCAGACATTCTGGAGCCTTAAACACCTTCACTGCGCACACATTTGATTTTTTTCTAGAACGAAACTCAATGTGAATTCCGGTTCAAAATAGGTCCCAGTATTTAATGATCCTATGAGACGATTACATGGGAATCGTCAGGTCGCCGTGATGTAGCCGATATTTGCTGACTGTGAAACTCACATTCGCTAAAGTTGTTAGGCCTGATTTCTGATGAAAAAAAAACATTTAAACGATCAACTTTCAACGGAATCAATATACTTGTCTACTTAGGAAGGAAGATGGACTCTATGTTGACTCTATGGAGATAGATATGTCGATTGCATTATCAAACTCCAAACGCCTTTATTTGCTCTGCACTTGGCCGTAATAGAACAACGAGTGCTGTGACTGGCTAGGCTTTTAACATGATTGCCATTAACCTGTACTCGGTTATATTGCGGTGTGGTGTTCTGCTGATGGTAATGACTCTTGCTGGTTGGTGAGGCTTAGTGTAATTGATGAAATGGACAGGGATTGAAGGGTAGTGTCGCACATCTGCCTTTGCTCTGAACATAGCTGGTTTGTTTTCTCTGCACAGACGCCAAACATGAATGTGGAAACCATCACACAACCTGGTGTTCACGTCAGCGGTAATCAACCACTGGAAAAGGACCCTTTTACATCAATTGAGGACAAACTGAAACCATTTTTAATGTCAATGAAAATATTTGGGATTTACTTTGATCCAACACACGCGAAAAACAAAGTGGAACTATCAGAAAGATATGCGTCCCAGGAAAAGCCTCCAAGACTGTGGCGCTCCATCAACCGTCTGTACTGTTATACGGTTCTCCTCTTACAGTGGTTCAACGTTGGCCGTTGTGCAGTTGGGGTGTTCCCATTTGACGAGGGTTTGCTCTCGAGGATGATTACAACGACATGGATGTTGCTTTGCGCACTAAACGCTACTATCATAGTCGCTGCATGCCAGAAACCAACACACCTTCGATGTTTCTACAAGCACTGGGATTCCCTATTGCAGTGCCCTGTTACAAATAACATAGGCTGTGGCTTTAAATTTCCACTAAAATATTTGAGATTAAGTACAGCTGCTGGCTGGTTTTTTAGTCTTGTTAACATTGCTGCTCTCTGTGTCTTAATGTTTGGCGATTTACCCATTTCGGATGTTTACATTAAAACGTATGCCAGGCCATTCCCAGAGTCCAAGTGGGTGATCTTCTTCAGCGTTGTCCTGCACGTATTTGAAACGGGGGCCTGGATTTTCCCGATTATTTTTATGAGCATAATTTCTCGAGTCATACGAGCACAGTTCTTACAGCTGGGAAAGGTCCTTGTAAAACAGATCGAGGAAGCAGACGGACACATCCCTCATCAACTGCCAGAAATGAGGTTTCGCTACACACAACTGTGCCAGGCTGTGGATATCATCAATAGATGCTTCAAATGGCTCCTTGGAGGGTGTTTTATTCTACATATTTTGGTGGCTTGTTTTGTGTCCTATCAGATTATCAACGGGCCATTGAACATTTTTGTCATCGGAGTTTATGTATTCTGGCTTGGGGGTTGTGCCATTTCCATCTCTGTGTTAGCAATAAGCAGTTCCCATGTTCATAATGCTGTAAGTTTTCCTCGAAAATCCTTGAATAAAATCATTTGCATTATTTATTTTTTTAAATCGTTCCATGGATGTGATAAATGTTCTTTACATGGTTCTCCGCCGTAATATCCCTTGGGTATCGATAGATGATCACCCAGACGCCGCTCACTTGTTTGTTGTACTATGTTCTAAAGATGTATGAATTTGTTAGGGACTATGTATAAAAGTTAACACAATTACTTCTTGAACAAATTATCCATATACATACACCTGGTTAAATTTGTGTCTTGTTATTCTTTGAATTATCATGTTGTTGTTCAAGTGAAAGTTATATTTTCAGGCTCATTCACTTCTGGATGACATATTCAGTATCGGAACACAGGATGCTACTGTGGAGCAGCATGCGCAGGTATGCTTTGTATAGATATGTTGTATTATTCCCTGATAACATGACACCATTCCAAACAGTGTGGGGCGGTAGGGTAGGCTAGTGGTTAAAGCGTTCGCTCCTCAAGCCAAGGCAAGGGTTCGAGTCCGAATATATATGTACAATGTGCAAAAACTATCTTTTGGTGCCCTCCGCTGTCAAAGTGCTGGAATATTACTTAAAACGGCATAAAAACTCTCTCTAAATAGTGCGTCACGATCTAAGTACTTTTCGCGAACACCTGGTGTCATCACTATGCGCCTGTGACTCCAAAGCCCATGCTCGTGATATAATCGGAATTATACAATCGACTCTGCTTTTGGAAGAGATTTCTTATGAATATGGAAAGGGTTTTGTCGCTTTTATTTATATTAGACTGATGAAATGAACAGATTAGCCAAACGACCTTTCGTCCTCCTGAATGCTTTCAATGAAAAGTACATTTTCAAATTGAAAACTTCAGTAATCATTCAAAGCTGAAATTATACACCTGGAACAACTATATCTATTTGAAGTCACTCTCCTTGCAGCTTAATCTGTTTCTGTCAAAGCTAACAGGCACATCAGTTGGGTTTACAGCTATTGACTTCTTTGTCATCAAAAAAGAGTTCATATTGACTGTAAGTATTACTAATACCACAATGAATGTTGTTTTAATGTCACAGACAGTTATATCCTTCTTAAATCTTAATCTTAACAGTCATAAAGCTGTAGAAAATGAAACAAACAATGTAAAATGTTTTATACCATAGTACATCGTCTTATGTGAGGTATTGAGGAATTGATATTTTTGGTTGAATCTTCCCAACAAGGTTTAAAAATCAGAATGCATCACTGATTATGAAAATAATATATTGCCTGTTTCTCCACGAACTTTTGTGGCGGCCATCTTGGATTTCAAAATTACCTCATGTTCACTTCAACTTATATATTTGAATGAAAAAGAAAAGTATCAGTCAAAAACCGTCTCTAATACATGATTGTACTCAATTGTACATATTGTTAATACTGTATCATACATATCATGCAAATTACATTAGATCTTGAAAGTTTTATTCTTGTGACAAACTAATAATCATTACATTTTCTGTTGATTGAATATGTGAGTTTGACTCAGAAGATTAGCATTCATGTTAGTACCGCAAGACACAGATAATGTCAATGATCCAAGTGTCTGCATTCATTATTTAGAAGTATTTGAGAAAGTCAGTTATTTTTGTGCTGTTGGACGATCTCTCTACGTTGCTTTTGTCTTTGTTGCCAGTTTTATATATCTTGAACTTTGTATACTTGGTTCCTTTCACCTCTACGGTGTCCCCCAAAATGATTCAATTATAATCTTGTGATTTTGAATGAACAAGTTTGACATGGATGTAGCAGGATGATAAATGGTGGCCATTTTAAAATCCAAGATGGCCTTCGCAAAGGTTTGTGGAAAAAATGGCAACATCATTTTTTCTTAATCAGTGATGTATTTTGCTTATTCTAAACCTTGAACTCAATTTGACAGCTTCACGACAATTTGCTAAGTGGTGGGTCCAAATAACATCAGAAATATAGCTCTATGGCTGCAAGAGCTTGAGGAAACCTTTTTATAGATCATATAAACATCTTTCAGCGTCACAATCAACATCTACTCCTTTATCAACAAATTTGACAAACTAATGGGCAAATAACATTTTCAATAAGCACATTTACTATCAGTATTCTGTTCAGAGAAGTTCTTGGTACTTCTATGTGCCTCCTGTTTCAGCTGAGTGGACTGTTCGTGACCTACTTCTTTCTCCTGCTCCAGTTCAAGATAGCCTGATTCACCGAGTAAACACAGAAGTGATGATGGCACCTGCCTTGTGATCCCAATGTATAAATGAATGAGTACTGTATTCTCCAACTGTTGTGGGTTTACTATGGCACAACAATTGTCGGTGTTGAATTTCTCACAAGGCTTGACAAGGCTTTATATGTAGAATGAATATGAATACGTAAGCTATAGCAGTAGCCTGAAGCTTTTAGTCCTCATATGAGAGCCACGCTGCTACGATGTTAAATACGATAGGTTGTGAAGTGTCTGAAAAAGGCACAGATTGTGCACACCGGCTCGAGATCTGCACGAGACCTGTGAAAAATACTTGGATGGTCTATAGCATGCGTGTTGTCCATGTTTCACACATGCGTATCTCTGCATGTACAACATCAGTTGCTTTAGTGGTCAGGAACCACAGTGTTGCATTGTTTGTTTGTTTTTTAACGCCGCACTTAGCCACAGTGGTGCATTCAATAGTTCAATATGTTCTAAAATTATTTTTGGCATAAAGTTGTTTGTATCTGTCAGTTTAACGTGAAAAAGTAAAAATAACTGTGTTCCAAAATATTTAATTTATCTAATATTTTTACAGTATATATGTAACATTTGTCAGAGATTATTTTCTCGTTTCATTTTTCTTATCAAAATACTTCAGTCGGGCAAATAAATAATAATAATGTACTTCATCATGTTATCATGTGATCACTTCAACCACCTGGAGAAATGGCTGAAGATACACTGCTGTTTATCATCCAAAACTGGCTCCCGCAGGAGATATCGCTTTGGTGAGATCAAGCGATATCTACATTGTAGAAATTGCATCACAATGATTTGCAGACCATTGTGACATCATTGGTTACGTCACAATCAAATGACATCACTAATGGCTCTGCTACTGAAGCTGTTTGCAGTACTTTTTACTCTTACACTGCTAATTACTGTCTACAAACTGAAAAAGCCTCGGCAAGACTTATAGTAGGTTGTAAGGAAAAGTTCAAAGATGATTTGCCTATTGGTTGGAATCCAGAAGAGTTTAGAATTCTAGGAGTCAAATTTTGCACAAATCTGAAAAAAATGGTTCAGTTGAACTTTAAAGACAAATTATTTGAGTTAAAACAGATTATGAATAGGTGGATGACACGGATAGTTACACCAATTGGTAGGGTGGCAATCATTAAATCCTTGTTGATTTCAAAACTCAATTATCTATTGTTATCACTGCCTGATCCCCCAAATGATTTTCTTGTTACTTTAAATGCTATGCTTTTTAAATTTCTTTGGAGTGATAAACGAGACAAAGTAAAGAGGATTAAAGTTTGTCAACCTGTTAAGCAAGGGGGCTTAGGTATGGTGAATATCTTTTCATATGTAACATCTCTTAAGGCCACATGGATAAGGAGACTTGTGTCCTCAGGTGATCAAAAATGGAAGCACCTATTTAAATCTACATATCCTTATTTGTGTAAACTTGGTGAATTTGGTGTGACATTTTTTGAAAGAAAATTATCTTTGATAAGTAATGAGTTTTGGAAAAGTTGTTTTCAGTCATTTATAGTGCTTGATAAGAAAATCAAGCCAGAATCTTTCAGTAGTTTTTTAACTGAACCAATTTTTTATAACCCTAATATTAAAATTAATAGGAAATCATTTTTCTTGAAATACTGGTTTGAGAAGGGCGTCTCCCAAATTATAGACTTGGTCAAGGCCAATAAGGAGTTTCTGTCATATGAGGAATTTAATGATATGTATGGTATTTGTTCATCCTATTTGGAGTTTTATGGTGTTGTTAGCAGCGTTAAACAATACCTTGGAGCTCTAAATTTAGTTAGAGTTCCAACAGATTCTGTGGAGGATCAGCGCTGTGTGGTAAAAACTATTTGTAGTTCCAAGTCCGGTTCAAAACATATTTATTTTTCATTGGATTCTACAGAAGTAAAAACTAAAGGGCAGGAAAAGTGGGAATTACAATTTGAAAACTTAAATTGGAACAATGTTTGTAATAAAATTTTCAGTACAACACAGGATGTCAAACTGCGATGGTTTCAATACAAAATTACCCACAGAATTCTCACCACTAATACTTTTCTGTATTTACTCAATTATGCTCAGAATGATTTGTGCTCTTTCTTTCACAATGAAAAGGAAACAATTACTCACTTGTTTTGGGAATGTGATGTAATAAAACAATTTTGGGATGAAGTGTCATTGTGGATCGACCAGTGCTTTCATGTTTATAATATGACATTTTGTGCAGAATTGATACTTTTTGGAGTTAAAGAGAACATAAAAACAGATAAAGTGTTTGATTTACTTTTACTAATTGCAAAATACTATATTTATAGATGCAAATTCCAAACTACAAAACCTTATTTTCATGTTTATAAAAAGGAAGCTTTTTCACGATACAACATTGAAAAAGATATTGCTTTCAAGACAGGTACTCAACAGAAATTCTATGGTGCTTGGATTCTGTATCATCAACTTTTCCAAAATGAGGAGCAGCTTTCAATTTAATTTTAGTTTTGTACTTAAGATTTTAATGTTTGAGACCATGTACTTTCCTAAACTGCAATATGATATATAAACAAGAGTGAATGTGTGAGTGAGAAGTATGTTATTTTCTGTAAAAAAACAACAAAGTAAGATGTACTGATAAGTTGTGCTTTATGTCATGGGCTTTCTGCTACCCTGGGCGGAAGCCCATTTATGTAACAGGTGCGTCTTTCTAAAAACAATAAAAGAAAAAGAAAAAAAAAGACTTATAGTTTTTTCACTTTTATCAACTTGTGTTGATATATTTGATATCAAAAGATACTCCTGTGAGATTCTCTATATGTACGCTGGATATGACAGACAAAGAAACTTATTGACATAAGCATTATGTCTTTATGATTCATGCTCAACTGGTTCCACTTTAGACAAATATCATAAATTTGTGGTGTGTGGTCACTAAAGCAATAACTGCAAAATTAACAGTTTGAAAACTAACAGACTGTGAACTATTAGTTGTCAATACTGAATGAGTGATACTTGGTTTAATGGTGCTTCCAACAGTATTTCAGTTAAATCACGGTTTGTAAGGAAAGTCCAAAGAGGCACAGGACAAGACTGTATCACTTTGTTGAAACTCTTGAGGCTTTGAAACAACTTTCATCTAAACAGTGGTTGTCAAATGGACTGTTAGTTAACATATCATGCGATCCAATCATTCAACTTGATGATGAATGAAGAAACAATTTATGTGTGCTGTGTGTTATCGGGTATCCTGCTAATGTGTCCATAAAACACGTTGTTTACAACACAGCAATGACTGATTTGAGTACTACTCTTTAGATATATATATAAATATTGCTTGCCAAGTTCATTCAACACATTAACTACACATTTGAACACTTGATGAGTGATAACATATTACAAACAGGATAAGAGTGGACTTGTGCATGATGACATTACACAGAAACTGACAAAGGTTAAGGTCTTCAGAACTCAAATTCTCAAGAGGGGAAGAGAGAGCCTCAAAGATGATTCAAGTTCAGGCTGACCTTCAATTGCTACCTCTAAAAAAATGTTGATAAAATACATGAAATGTTTACGGATGATCAACAACTCACCACACATTACACAGTCAGTCCAGAAGGCATCTCTCATCTGAGGGGCGGTCGGGTAGCCTAGTGGTTAAAGCGTTCGCTCGTCACGCCGAAGACCCGGGTTCGATTCCCGACATGGGTACAATGTGTGAAGCCCATTTCTGGTGTCCCCCCACCCGTGATATTGCTGGAATATTGCTAAAAGCGGCGTAAAACCATACTCACTCACTCACTCACTCTCATCTGAGGAATGAAGAGGGCATGACAAAAGTTTCAAGATGCTGATTTCCAAGGCTTCTGACTCCTGATCAGAAATGCTCCAGGTTCATCATCTTTCATGAGAAATGGGTTCACCACTATCAGCCAGAGCCAAAACAATACTCAAAGCAGTGGAAACATCTTGAAGAAGAAGGCCTGGTAAGAAGACAGCTTCGGTTCTCTAGGTTTCCAAAGGAATCCTACTGGTGGACTACCTCCCAAAAAGTGAGTGAGTGAGTATGGTTTTACACTGCTTTTAGCAATATTCCAGCAATATCACAGCGGGGGACAACAGAAATGGGCTTCACACATTGTACCACTGTCGGGAATCGAACCCGGGTCTTCGGCGTGACAAGCCAACGCTTTAACCAGTAGGTTACCCGACCGCCCCCTCCCAAAAAGGTCAGACCATTAATGGCCAATATTATGCTAACCTGCATTGGCAACTGCATGAAAAACTTAAGGCTGAATGTCATGAAAAACTCATTAAAGGTGTGTTGTTCCAAAGGACAATGTGTAAGCAAGGATTATATCCGACCTAAATATTATCCCGGGGGAAGTTTGACTCTAGAGTAAAGTATCCTACCTTAGTGCAACACTGGTATGGGTTCAAATTCACGAGGGAGAATTATCCTGACACTAGAGAATTTCATCCCCAGGATGAAAAATAGGGTAGGATAATATTCACTCTTGCAAATGCACATAAGTCTGTTGTTGCTAAGGCCACAAAGTGTGACTGTGGTTCTGAACTCAGATTTCCACCTCTTCCCAAGCTTGAAGAAAGAACTGTCAGGCAAGCATAATGCAGATGATGATGACATCATTTCTGCTGTGGAGAACTTTTTACACCACCACAAGGAAGCCTTCTACACCAGTGGAATACAGGCACTCCAGCATTGCTAGGATAAATGTGTGAACCTCGGAGGGGATTATGTTAAAAATATGTATCAACCAACGCCATCGACGCTGTCCATCATAATTAGGCTCAGTATAAAAATCACCACAAAATCTGAGAAATCATTGAAATGTATGCAGAGCATAAAGTATTTGTTTTTATATGTCCAGAAATTATGATGTCAAAAACAAACCTAATTAGGTAGAAAATATTTAAAATTGCATAAGTACAAGTATTCACGTATTTAGAGAATGCATTTCGTGAATAATGTGGTAAAACAAAATGTCTACAGCCAGCCTATTGTCAAAACTCTGGTTGCCAATCAATGTCTTGTTGCACGTGTTTGATCTGTACACACTGGATGACATCGCCGGCCTGGAAGGTGAGAGACGGGTCTTCCAGGCTTATTCCACACATCATGTCTGTCTTCACATTATCCACCTCCTCCTTGAAGTGCTTCAAGCTGGCAATTTCTCCTGGAATAACAATCATGGCAGCATGATAAGTTCTATAGAAATGGCCTTAAGATGGCAAACAGTAAACAAATTAGTCAGAGATGAATTTCAGTGAAGTGGAATCTGTCTAAAGCTGAGTATTGCCTGATATCACGATACAGACTGACGATACTACTGATATCATGATACACTACATAAAATAGTAAGAAATGATGAAATCACTGAAATGCAGGTCTAATACCTCTTTCTTCATACATCTATTGATTGTTATCTCAAAAACTTTAACAAAGAAAACCACAAGAACAAAACAATTTTAAATGAAGGGATGGTTATTAAATGTAACTTTCAGTCACCACGTCCTCAGCTTCCAAGTCCTTGTGTTCTGCCACTATGCTACTTCTGCCATAACGGGAGGTAACTCTATTCAGCTACTACTACTACTACTACTACCACCACCACTACTACTACTACTATTACTACCACCAGTAGAATAGGTCTTCAGCAACCCATGTTTGCCATTAACATGATTAAAGGCGACTATGCTTGTCGTAAGAGGCGACTAACGGGATCGGGTGGTCAGGCTCGCTGACTTGGTTGATGCATGTCATTGTATCCCAATTGCGTGGATCAATGCTCACGACATCAATCACTGGATTGTCTGGTCCAGACTCTATTATTTACAGACCGTCGTCATATATCTGGAATATTGCTGAGTGCTGCGTTAAACCTACTACTACTAACATTCGGGGCCGCAAATGTGGTCTTTCACCTGCCATGACCTACTCTCAGAAACCAGCTTGACATAAGAATGGCTGAGAGAGGGAGTGAGAGAGTGAATGTTGTTTTACGCAATATTCCAGCTACTGCCTGTATAACATGGTGATCTGTAAATAATTGATTCTAAACCAGGCAAACCAGTTCTCAACTGCTTGAACATGAACAATCCACACCAGGTCACAATGACACACAAATGCAACCACCCCAGACATAGTGACACAGATTGTATTCTACAATGCCGCTGGATTCTGATTCTGATTGGTCAAAGCAAATAAAAATAAAAATCAGGTACCTTATTCCATTCACTACCTCAAAATCAACATTCCATTTCACACAAAACATTGCATATGAAAACATCAATCTATCTATAGCCTATGCATAGATGCATATAACAATGGCTGGTGAATTAGAATTGTATACATTCAATATTAGAACAACAGCTTATGAAATAGGAAGAAATCTATGTATTCCACACAAACACAATTAACAAAAACACACACAAACCACTGTGTCAGGGTCTCATGATCATCAGTCACAAAAAGGCTTTGTTCCAAATTAAAATAAGAGGTACCTAATCTACAGTTAGACTACCTCCAATTTCAAAACACAGTAAGCTTATTTCCTTATTGCAATGCTCTTGCAATATCAGAACGGGGATAGCAAGGTGAAGCTTCCCGCGTTGTATCCAAGTAGGGAATTAAACCCGTTTCGTGTGAAAGTCACTCACATAACATTATCAACATTACTTACCATTATAAATGACTTCATTACTGCGTATGACCTTGAACCCTTGCTTCCTATGGAGAGCTCCTTTTATACAGCGACACCCGGCAACAGGTATCTTCTTCTTTCTGGCTGTCACCTCGAACACACTCTTCACCTCGGCTTCCCCTGAAACAGTTCTGATACACTGAGCTGTGGTTTCACCAAATGTCACTTTGATGTGAGAAGAGGTGAGGTGAAATGGCGTTTAACATCATGTTCAAAAGTATTGAATTGTTTGAAGTTGACGGATGACAAGGTAGACACAATTTTATGGATAACAACTTCAAAATTATTGTACTTATATATAATGCTAATAATGAACTACAGTTATAACAAATCAAAATCAGTGGTCCCTTTGAGTTTGTTATAAACGTAGTTTACTGTATTCAGAACAAAACTTGGCCTCAATGCCATAACATGGGCATTCAACCTGGTGAAAGAGTGATTGGTCCACATTCTGGTGTGATTTCTATATAATTAATAGTGTCATTTATGAAAAAGAGACACTGTCGCTGTGTAATCTCACATTAACTGCTATATCGCTCTGCATAATACAATTTGAAACGTCAGACTAACAAAAAGGATCTGTAACAACTTGAATCACCAAAGGAGTGTCGATTTCCCAACAAATCAAATTATGGGATGTTGAATGGTTCTGCACCAGTCCAGGCCACATTAACCCAACCCTAAAAGAAAACACCCATCAAAGTACTACCAATACTCAACAGCACATGGTTTTCATGTTAGTTTCCTTCCATGACAACCACATGGCACTGGGGACCTTCTAAACGTGTCCCAGTGGTACAGCTTCCTATCTCCTTGGCTTGTTTTGTTTGTTGTTTAACGCCACATTCAGAGCTATTCCAGATATATCAGGACAGTCTGGAAATAATCAAGTCTGAACCAGACAATCCAGTGAATGAATGATATCATGTGCATCGATCTACGAAATTGAGATATGACATGCATCAACCAAGTCACCACCTGATTGCATTAGTGGCCTCTTATGACAAGCATTGGATTCTGAAGATCAATTCCAACCCGGATCTTTCATGGGTTTCCTATCTAGTGGACTGTAAACACAGCAGTGTTACCTAAAACCTCCTCCTCCTCCACATGAGGGAGTCTAGCAGAAAGACTGTCCAGCAGGTTGTCAAACAGGTTGTAGATGACATTGTGCATCTTGATGGGGATTGACTTGGACCGCGCCACTTTGGCAACTGACTCGGGTGTCTTGACGTTGAAGCAAAATATCTCTCCTGCAAAATGATAGGCACCTTCTAAGTGTCAGAGTTTCCAGTGTAGTTGCAGGAATCTATCTAGACCTGCTTAGAGGCCCCAAGACTGCAGCAAATGTCAGTAAACATTCCCAAATTGTTGTTATAGTTACAAACAATGTTTAAATATGGCTTTGTAGACGTACCTTATATTTCACTGACAATAGGACCAACAAAGAGAAAAAGGCAATGATGCTTATTGAACAAAATGATCAATAATTTATATTATGGTAAAATACCTCTGAATTCATGAAAATAAGAGCTTTGAAGAAAAATCCCAATTTCGAACAAAATTATATTTTTTCACAATTTACCTGTCTATGGAATCCTAGACATATCCCTTTTCAATGAAGTGACTGATTTACCAGTGAATTGTCAAATATTATTGACACTATTAGACTTGTCTTGAACAAAATAATATTTTTTCACAATTTACCTGCCAAGAGCTGGAAGCTGTCTAAGGAATCCTAGACATATATCTTTTTAATGAAGTGACTGATTTACCAGTGAATTGTCAAGTATTATTGAAACTTATCATTGGAATTGTCAGACAAACAACTAAAATTGCCCAACTTGATGCCAAATTTTCTCAAGTGAAACTGAACTGGTTGAACTTACCACTGAAGTTTTCAGCCAGCTGAACATCAGTTTCTGTCACGTTCCCGACGCCGTAATGGATCAAGTCCAGGCGACATTTCTTGGAGTGGAATGTGTCCAGAGTGTCGAGTATGGCTTCAAGGGAACCATCCACGTCAGCTGGAATTACAACATGTTTATGTGACATGATGAATATTTGCTCCAGCTTAACATCCTATTTAGTGGATAATGGTCAGGAATGTGTGACAAACGTTTTCACTGGCCAATGTGATTCTGATAATCCTACAAACATAACAACATTGCATACATTGTTGAATGGATTAAATGTCACCTTTGATCTTGATATTGTGAATAATTAAAAAAACAATTTACTATCTGTAAGAAGCATTTTATTACTAACATACAGTTTAGTTCCCCAAGAAGTTGTGTCATATGTGAGATGCCTCCTTTTAATTCTCTATTGTCTTACCAGTCTCCATGCTTGAGTGAATTTGTACATATAACAATAGGTGATGGACAAGTGGCCTGTCCTCATTTCGCCTACACCTCATTTCGCCTACACCCTTATCAAAACAAATTTACAGCTGACTGCACATAAGTCAAGTGCTGTGTTACCTCTAAAATAATGAACTGACCCAAAAGAAGGTTAAACAGACAAGACAATCTTGAAGCTTCATACATTGTTTAATAGCTGATATTTACATTATGCAGTAATAATAATAATGACTCATGATTACTGTAGCTTAAGTACATATCCAACGGCATCAAGAAGTTGCATTACAGTTTTTCTTCCACTAAGAAGGTGTGTCTTTAGTCTTTCAATTCTTTCGTCCCTTTGTCTGTCAACACGAGCTCGGGGTCTGCATGATCCTCCAAGATCAATATGTTTCCTGGAGCGTCTGTCTGCCTTTTCAATCTTCTTGATCTCCTTCAAGAACTGATAGATGTTAGGGTGAGATCGGGGCATTCTCTTTTTCAGTCCACAGTAGAACCCTTCCGGATGGTTGTTGGATCGGGGACCGGTGTTGTCATGCTGGTTCCAAATATGGCAGGGGGATCTAGCATCGTCATCTACCCATGTGCTGGTGACATAGTCGTTAAAATCTCCAATCTGTTGATCATCAGGTCCTTGCTCCATCACCTCAACCCATGCATTCTGTACCTGGTCAAGTGGGAGAAGTGGCAGGGCTGCGGCACGTCGAACATGGGACTGAATTGCTGGATTGTTCGTGTATTCTCATACAAGACCTCTCTCAACCACCTGACGCCACAAAGCTTGTGAATAGTGAAACAGACAACCCCTCACATAACTATCAGGAAAAAACTCTGCAATGGCACTTATGACTGCTGACTCGTAATCAGTCTGAAACACCTCTGGAGAAAGTTCAGTACCAGTTCTGGTTCCTACATTGTCCTTCAACAACCTAAATAGTCTAACATATGTCTGTTTGGTCTTGTTAGGAAGCAACGAAAAAGCAACAGGATACATTTTACCATTTACAAGACAATGAATAATATACACTTGGAGCCACAAGCTAGGACAAACAAAAAAATACCATCCATAAACAAACTGTCAGAGTCACTCATGATTTCTAACATCTCAGTGGTAGCAAACACCAGTAGTGTGTTGTCCCCGTCATTGATGCACAGAAAGTCTCTTCCATCTTCTGTCTGTGTCCAAGTTCCTTCCAAGTTGACTGCTGCTCTGGTTTCTGGAACTTGTGGAATAGTCTTGGCTCTGTTTCTGTACAGGGAAGCTTGAACACTTGCAAAAGAAGGGGTAGTTGCAGCTACTTCTTCATCAAGTTGATCCAGTTCTGCGTTGTATATCTGCTGTACAGGAGAAATGTCGGTCTGGAAACGCTGCTTGAGTCGACCAATGAGTCTGATGTGTTCTTCATTCTCTACAGGGGGGTGGCTGTGAGGAGTTGTAGAAACGACGTGTTGAACAGCAACTTGACGCTTGACATTCAGTCTGTATCTATAGCCTGCATAAAGTACTTGCTGGCCACGTCTTTGTGATGTTACAAACTCCGCTCTCTGAAGATTTGCCATTGTGATGCTGACTAGTAAGCTGATAGGTCAGGTACATATATACCAATGCAATAATAACAACAATAACAGTTCAACAATTGAGCAGACATCTAATTTCCTTTAATTAAACCAATACTAAGAACTAACCAATTTGTAACAATTACAAACAATGTGAGAAGCGATGATAGGCTTCTTTACACCTTAATTATTAAATAAGATTTATTTACTAAACAAGATTTACTTGCACATTCAAAACAACTAAGGATTAACAGAATGACCAAGTCATAGGTTGTAAAAACTTCACTTTGAACCTCTATGCCGCTTGGATTAGATAAGCGCTTGGATTAGTTAACAGCCTGAGATGGACAATGCCCATTCATATAATAGGGATGAGGCAATTAAGCATTTGAATTATTGTAGGCGAAATGAGGTGTAGGCGAAATGAGGTGTAGGCGAAATGAGGGCAAGCCGGACAAGTAGGCAGACCCCAAATAAACCACCAGGCAGACTGGGCACCATCAAGATCATAGAAACTGCACAGCGTGTCAAACACAGAGAAACCGATTTACCCCCAGTTCGGGGAATCCCCTCAGTGGCACATATTTTCGTTGGGGTCAATTTCAGCTGTTGTTTGTTGTTGTCTGTTTTCCCTTTTCCAAAATAATTTTGGTCAAGCATTTGTGATTAAGTATGCCCTAAAGTACTGAAATCTGCTAGTTGCTATTTGGAATTTACGTGCACTTTAATAAGGACCAGTGACAGCTGTGGCCCCTCATATACCATGTTACTCACCCTTAAGGACCAGTGACAGTTGAGGCCCCTCATATACCATGTTACTCACCCTTAAGGACCAGTGACAGTTGAGGCCCCTCATATACCATGTTACTCACCCTTAAGGACCAGTGACACCTGCGGCCCTCATATACCTTGTTACTCACCCTTAAGGACCAGTGACAGCTGTGGCCCCTCATATACCATGTTACTCACCCTTAAGGACCAGTGACACCTGCGGCCCTCATATATCATGTTACTCACCCTTAAGGACCAGTGACAGTTGAGGCCCCTCATATACCGTGTTACTCACCCATAAGGACCAGTGACAGCTGCAGCCCTCATATACCATGTTACTCACCTTCAAGGACCAGTGACAGCTGTAGCCCCTCATACACCATGTTACTCACCCTTAAGGACCAGTGACAGCTGCGGCCCCTCATATACCATGTTACTCACCCTTAAGGACCAGTGACAGCTGTGGCCCCTCATATCCAATGATTGTTTCCTTCTGTTTCTGGGAGCTTGTGGCGTACTTGCGTCCACTCTCCCTCCTCAGCTGAACCTTCTGCTTGTACACAACATCATGTTGAGATCTCTTCTCATCAATCACAACCTGGTTCTCATCAATCTTCTTCAGCGTCTCCTGCTCAATTCTCCACTGTAAGGCATCCTTTAAGACTTGCTGCAGAAACCAGAGGAATAGCAAACACAACTATCTATGCCACTGTCCTACAACTGATAGCACTACACATACTCTACGGTGTGGATAGATTCATAAGCATTTTAAAGTGATTTCCTATGCCCGGTTACTGAGCTGGTTTTGTTTGTGCCACTTTTAACATTACTTCAGTTATTACACACTATGAGCTAAATGTGAGAAGAGTGATTGACGAGAGATATCTGATAAACTACTTATACAGAGATACCAGATAAACTACTTATACAGATATACCTGATAAACTACTTATACAGAGATAACGGATAAATTACTCATACAGAGATAACGGATAAATTACTCATACAGAGATACTTGATAAATTACTTATACAGAGATACCTGATAAATTAAGCATACAGAGATAACCGATAAATTAAGCATACAGAGATAATTATAAATTTGTAGAATTTTCCTATTCGGAATATTCTATAAGTAATACGTTACCACTGTTATACCGAGGCTGTTGTCTCCCACAACTGCTGCTATAGCGAAATCTACCACAGAGATCTCAATTACCTCATGCAGCACGTGCGTAGCCACCTAGCTGCCATGTGACACCCTTCACTCTTGTCTCTTGCGAGAGCAAGTGCTCGGGGGACGGACGGGCGGGCAGCAGCCCAGTGGTAACGTATTACTTATAGAATATTCCGAATAGGAAAATTCTACAAATTACATGAAGTAATACGTTACCACTGTTATACCGAGGCTGACTACCACAGTAGGCGGTGGGGAGCACCTACAACCCGAATCCTGACTGCTAGCGTTTCTTCCGACCAGCGGAAGTAAACACCAAGGCGGAAGCACTCGATGCGCATGCACCTAGCTAGGCGTTACCCTATAGGAAGGTCGAGTCAGTATACGTCCCTTTCCCAGACCAGGCCTCAGAGCTACGTTTATCGAGAGGTATGCCTGTTATACTCGCGCGTGTAGTTCAACTATACTGTATTTAAGCTTCCGCACGACAATACGAAATGCGCGGCTATCTATAGACAAATCCCAGTCAAATTATAACAATTCCATACATTTTTGTCTGAATAAATATTATGAACGCAGTATTCTTTTATATATAATATGTATATATACTTACTCGATCAAGCTCACTCAATTTTAACACATTTAAAGCCATTATTTTTTTTATCTGTACTGTTAGTGAGGTGACGATTGAGATCATCTGTGATTTGATTCAGTCTCCTCTTTAGACATCGTGGTAATGTATCACACTACACTAAACTAATAAATACATGCATGTTTGTAAAATCCGTTTGTCTAGGTACTAGAACGGACATATACATACATATTCATTATACACATTCTCGCAATCTCACAAATATAGCTGACAAACGATAGCCGAACTTTCTTTTCAGAACACAGGCCACTTTAATTTACTCTGATCCCTTATTTTTTGCTATCAAGTCATCAGAGAGGTAAACAGATATGATTAAACTGGTTAGCTCACTTTTTTTATACAATATTTTCTTTTGACAATCGGATTTAAATAATTTCTATCAAAGGGGAATCTCGACTTAACATAAGCTTTACCACGATATCCTATATCGTCGAATTCACAGATAAAAAATATGGAAAAATACGTGCTTTGGCATATTCGAATCCAGTGCCATTTATGCTGACTCACTTTAATCTAGTCAACGTTCTTCAGAATGTATTCTTTGTAGCCACCCTACACATAGGTTATGAAATAGAGCTTTGCGTATTTTCGTTATTTTATAAACAACTACAGACAACTACAGACTCTTCATATTGCCTTGTATATAGCGTGTGCGTAAATCATCGCCGCTACCCCTACAACCAGTTTAATACAATTATTTTTTGTATACTCAAGCCACTGACTGGTCACTCTACACATTACTATTATATAAAAGAAACATCCTTGTGTATTTTCCCCATCAATTAAACGAGAGGCGTACGTTGGTCTGGGAAAGTGACAACTACAGAGTCTTCATATTGCCTTTTTTAGATATGTAAAAATCCTCATGGCTACCCCTACAATGGGTATAATACAGTGCTTTTTTATTCGGTCCACTGAAACGGCACTCTTACACATTATTATGAAAAAAGAGCATTGCGTATGTTTCATATTATTTTATACGGGGCGCGAACATTGGTCTGTGAAAGGAACAACTGCACACTGTTCCTATTGCCTTGCATTGGCTGTGGGAAAATCATCGCCACAATACCCCCATAACTAGTATTATACAATTATTATTTGTACGGGGGACGGGCATTGGTCTGGGAAACTGGGACAACTTGTTGCACGAATGGCCTTGTATATACATAACAGGATTCTCTACTCCAGTATAACAATATCTACTCTACTGTATAAACATTGCTTCCGACTTGTATATACTTGTCAACCAGGCTCTGTATATCACTTTGATAACGGCTTTAGAACCTACACCGAAAAGTCGCTCTTAATTGTAATAAATAAGTTGTTCATCCATAAATTCTTATCCTTACTTAACATGTGATTCTCAATAAACCCTCAGTAAAGTCAAGGTACCCCGAACAGCATCCTGAGCGAAGAACCGAACACAGTGATCAAATAATTATATTGGTCTGGGAAAGGGACAACTACAGACTGTTCATGTTGCCTGGTGTGGGAACAATAACCCCACTACCCCACAACTATTATAATACAAATATGTTTTTTATATTTACGCCACTGACATGCCACACTGCACATTATCATATAAAGGAAACATCCTTGTGTAGCGTGTGTGTAAATAATCGTCGCTACCTCCACAACTGTTGTAATGTATATATATATATATATATATATATTTATATGTATGACCCCTACTGGTCACTCTACACATTATTAGTTGAAAGAAACATCCCTGTGTGTTTTACATTATCCATTTAGCGGGAGACGAACAGTGGTCGCGGAAAGGGACAAGTACAGACTTTTCATATTGCTTGTGTATAGAGTGTATGTAAATAATCGTCGCTACCTCCACAACTGTTGTAATATATTTATTATTCGCACTATGTATGACCCCTACTGGCCACACTACACAGTATTAGATAAAAGAAACATCCCTGTGTGTTTTCCATTATCCATTTAGCGGGAGACGAACAGTGGTCGCGGAAAGGGACAGCTACAGACTTTTCCTATCACTTGTACATAGCGTGTGTGTAAATAATCGTCGCTGCCTCCACAACTGTTGTAATATATCTATTATCTTTACTATGTATGACTCCTACTGGCCACACTACACATTATTAGATAAAAGAAACATTTCAGTGTGTTTTCCATTATCCATTTAGCGGGAGACGAACAGTGGTCGCGGAAAGGGACAGCTACAGACTTTTCCTATTGCTTGTATATAGCGTGTGGGTAAATAATCGTCGCTGCCTCCACAACTGTTGTAATATATTTATTATTCGCACTATGTATGACCCCTACTAGCCACACTACACATTATTAGATAAAAGAAACATCCCTGTGTGTTTTCAATTATCCATTTAACGGGAGACGAACAGTGGTCGCGGAAAGGGACAGCTACAGACTTTTCATATTGCTTGTGTATAGAGTGTGTGTGTAAATAATCGTCGCTGCCTCCACAGCTGTTGTAATATATCTATTATCTTTACTATGTATGACTCCTACTGGCCACACTTCCCATTATTAGATAAAAGAAACATTTCAGTGTGTTTTCCATTATCCATTTAGCGGGAGACGAATAGTGGTCGCGGAAAGGGACAGCTACAGACTTTTCATATTGCTTGTGTATAGAGTGTGTGTGTAAATAATCGTCGCTGCCTCCACAGCTGTAGTAATATATCTATTATCTTTACTATGTATGACTCCTACTGGCCACACTTCCCATTATTAGATAAAAGAAACATCCCTGTGTGTTTTCCATTATCCATTTAGCGGGAGACGAATAGTGGTCGCGGAAAGGGACAGCTACAGACTTTTCATATTGCTTGTGTATAGAGTGTGTGTGTAAATAATCGTCGCTGCCTCCACAGCTGTTGTAATATATCTATTATCTTTACTATGTATGATTCTTACTGGCCACACTTCCCATTATTAGATAAAAGAAACATCCCTGTGTGTTTTCCATTATCCATTTAGCGGGAGACGAATAGTGGTCGCGGAAAGGGACAGCTACAGACTTTTCATATTGCTTGTGTATAGAGTGTGTGTGTAAATAATCGTCGCTGCCTCAACAACTGTTGTAATATATCTATTATTTTTACTATGTATGACTCCTACTGGCCACACTACACATTATGAGATAAAAAACCCCATCCCTTTGTGTTTTCCAATATCAATTAAACAGGAGACGAACACTGGTCGCGGAAAGGGACAAGTACAGACTTTTCATATTGCTTGTGTATAGAGTGTATGTAAATAATCGTTGCTACCTGCACAACTGTTGTAATATATTTATTATTCGCACTATGTATGGCCCCTACTGGCCACACTACACAGTATTAGATAAAAGAAACATCCCTATGTGTTTTCCATTATCCATTTAGCGGGAGACGAACAGTGGTCGCGGAAAGGGACAGCTGCAGACTTTTCCTATCACTTGTACATAGCGTGTGTGTAAATAATCGTCGCTGCCTCCACAACTGTTGTAATATATCTATTATCTTTACTTTCCATCACTCCTACTGGCCACACTACACATTATTAGATAAAAGAAACATTTCAGTGTGTTTTCCATTATCCATGTAGCGGGAGACGAACAATGGTCGCGGAAAGGGACAGCTACAGACTTTTCCTATTGCTTGTATATAGCGTGTGGGTAAATAATCGTCGGTACCTCCACAACTGTTGCAATATATTTATTATTCGCACAATGTATGACCCCTACTGGCCACACTACACATTATTAGATAAAAGAAACACCCCTGTGTGTTTTCCATTATCCATTTAGCGGGAGACGAACAGTGGTCGCGGAAAGGGACAGCTACAGACTTTTCATATTGCTT